GTAAACCAAGTAAGTCCGCGTGGCTTTGTTGCTTGCTGTGAGCTTGCGTACACGCTACTTTATTCTCGCGTATTGCTTGGTAAATTATTTGGTAACTGCGGGCACCCCTTCACCTGCGTAGCCTGCTTCCAGCTTTACACCCTGCTACCGCCGCTATCTCGTTTTTGTAACGAGTGTCTTTCCGACGAATTCACTGGCAATCATCTCTCGTTCGGCAAATTCGAGGTATCGTTCTCTTTAAGTGTTCATTTCGTGGGTTAATAATATTCGCTGCCATGTGTTAATTGTTAGAAGCGCAGTTTGTTATCTATATTTTATTTTATTTTTTTTATATTAATTCCGTAATTTTATTTTTTTTTGTAATAAATTGTTAACTTAACTTTGTTAATTCTGGTCTTTTTTATTGTGTGAGTCTTACTATCGCGCGGGCCAGAGACAGCCCGAAGCTAAAATAATTCTCAAACCCAGCCCCCTTTGTCCTAAAAAAATTGAGCTGGCCGGCCCGTTGTGTTTGATCGACGCAGGATTTAACGCGGGAACGCGTCTGGCGCTCATCTTTCAACTTAGGAACCGTCGGATCGACGCAGCGGTTTGCTCGAATAAAATATTTTCTTTCCTGCCGTTAACTCAACGTTGCATTTTCGCGGACGTTCGCCCGAGTCCCGAGTTAGACTCTCTGTTTGCGGGAGAGCAGCGCGAGAATTTCGTACCACCCACGCAAAAAACGTCACAATATATATATATACTGTGACGTGGTATTCGCGCCGCTCTTTCCCCGTCACAAAAATTAGAAGATTTTCGCGGGAGTCCGGGAAAACGAGCTGAAAAATGAGCGCCAAGATCCTCCTTGCTTGCATGCGTCCGCTCTTAGAATAGCGTTTTATTTATTTTTCTCTTGTATGTAATTTCGGCGCCTCACCGTCCTGAGGATCATCGTAGGACTTTTCGCCAAAGACATCATGCGGTGCCCGAACGAGAGAGAGAGAGAGAAAGGAACGGAGACGCAAAGTCTCTCCTCAAGGTCACGCTGAGAGCAAAGGTAGGTGACTGCATGGAGAGGCCACAGCGGAACATCGACGCTTTCTAGGAGAACACGACGACCAACGAGTTAGTCTAGCAGAACGGGCGGAACGGCGGAACAAACCATCGACGAGCCGGCCTACGCCGAGATGCGCTGTGTTCCAGCAATCCTGCTGCATGGTTTCAAGAATCCGCTGCTTGTATCATTGCTGCATCTCACGGATCCCGCCCCGTTGTCTGCTGCTTTTGCTTATGCTGCTGTATCATAGAGTAATAGACATTGCAAGCGTTCGAATTCCGCGGCCCGCTGATCCTGCCACCTGCGAGCAAGCTTGCAAGCCGCGCTGTAAATCCTGCGGCCTGATTGGCCCACGCGACCTCAGCGCTGCCCGAGGTATCGACCGCTTATCGAACAAAATCTTCGTGCTCTTGGTCGCGAACAGCTGTGTGAGACACACGCATCTCTCGGGCTCCCGTGCGTACGCGTATCTTCCGTGCCGCTCGACAAGTCTGCCGTGCCGTGATCTTGGAATTCGAGGCGAAGTGATTCAGGTAGTAAGGGTGACCTCGACAAAGTCAGGGAGCGCTTAAAGAATTGTTCCGGACGGAGGAGATAGGAGCATCCCGGAGAACAACGGACGACGGTGAGGTGCCCGTTTCATTACTGTTAGCCACGAATCCGCGTCGCACAGGCCTCGTGTCGAGACTGGTCGTCTGTATTTCGCGTCTTGTTTGTGACGGCAAGGACGTATCCTTGGCCGTGTTCATGATTTTTCGACAGCGGCCAGAATCGGGCTTCACGAGGCTTTGTGGCAGTAGTTTGTAGGTTAGGTGCATGTTTTTCGTAATTTCGCGAATAACCGTCAAGCCCTGGAGTGGCGATACGACGCCAAGTAGCCTATTCGCGTTATTTGTTTCCGTCTGTTTCTTGTTTCTTTTTTTTGTTCAGTGATCATATTCGTTGTGCGTGTGCCGTGACTATCGTAACGTACCGTCCGCGTACCGTCGGCTTTTGTCTACCGACGGCAATCAGTTGCCGCGGTAAGAAATCATCATAACAAAATCGGATTTTCACATGCGATCGGCTGGAGTAAGGTGCGTGCGAGTCGGAAGCAGTGTCGATCGGGAGGAAATATTGTATCGAACTAACGTGCGAATTAACGGTAGTTTCGGATTATGAATTTTCGGGACATTTATCGCCGACCAAGTCGCGAGCGTATAGTAAATGCGTGTCGCATTTTGAGTGTATAATTTGTCCAAGGTTATTCGCGATCAAGTAACGTATTGTACCGCTGATCTTTCTAGCGCCGAGACAGAGCGCGTCGCTAATCGTTCTGTAATAATTGAAAAGTAAAAGCAAGCCCCGACGTCGCACTCACTTCGCTCTGTATTACGAGTATTTTCTTTTGAGTGCATGCGCGTAGACTAAGGACTCGGCTCGACGTGATCTGTGGGCTTAGAGACACGAAACCGGCGAAAGCTGCGTGGCCAGGTGAGCCGTTCGACCAAATTGCGATCATCGGCGAAACAAGTAAGTCCGTGTTGATCTACGGCTTGTGAAAAGACGACTGCTATTTTATCCCAGCGTATTGTTTGTCACGTACATGGGCTTGCACCCCCTAGCTGCTTAGCCTGCATTTAGCTTTGCGCCCTGCGATTGCGATATTCTTGTGCCTGCGCTTGTCATCTTTCAACTTGAAGCCTTGAGTAAAGTCTCCCGTTCAGTACTTTCGCGGTATCGTTTTGATTAAATAATTTGTCTCGTTAACTCGCGTGATTCGTTTTGTTAATTGTCGCAACCCGTCGTCGGTTCCGTATCTTTTTGTTTGTATTATTTTATATTATACGGCCTTAGCTTACTCTGTCTCTTATTTCTTTTATATTATTTCTGTTATATTATCTCTTGCATATTATATTGTATCACATCTTTTTCTTTTTCTATTACTCTTTACATCATTTTTTTTATATTATTTTGCATTAATTCTATCTTGCATTTCTACCCGCGAAATAAATTAGTTAATTATTTAATTCATACTGGTTAACTCTGATTTCTTCTTCTTCATCTTAGCTTTCTATCGCGAGGTCAAGGGACAGTCTGCATTTCGAATTTTTTTATTCAATCCAGCCCCTCTCCGTTCCCAATAGAGCTAGTCGGCCCGTTGTGTCGAGCGACGTTGAACTTTGACGTGATTACGCGTCTGGCGTCCAAAATTATAACAAAGTATTCGTCGACTCGGCCCGGCGGCGCTCGTTTTGGATCACCTTTTCTCTCCTGCCCGTGATTCGTTGCATTCTTGCGGACGCTCACCCGAGTCCCGTGAAATAAACTCCGTTTGCGGGGAAGCGGCGCGAGAATTCCGTTGCAACCGCAAAAAACGTCACAATACATATGTATAATATATGTGTATATATATATATATATATATATATGTATATGTTACATCTTGGAGACTCCACGGTCCCCTTTTTGTCGCGACGCGACGCGCCGACATATAATAAACAAATAACGAACAGCAATAGATAACTTGAACGGATCTCCTATCGTTTCGGAACTTAGACTCCGAAACGATAGAGAAGCAAACGGAAATCATATCGGTGCCCGAAAGTATAAACCGCACCTAGTAATAACCCAAAAATTCTTTTCTCTCGATAACGAGCAGGAAGAATTTATTGCTTTTCCAAACAAACTCAGATATCTCCGGGTCAAGAAGAACCACGTATAAAATTTAGAGCAGCCGGCGCAAATAGACATAGACTCTGGCGCCACGAGCAGTTTATTATTAACAAATACCAAAGGCTATGTGACGTCATCGGAAAAACTAAAACTCTCCCCTTTTTTCCCTTCTCCAAAATCGGACGAACTATCAAAAGTGGAAAGATCGTCGCCGATTGGCGATCTCTTACGACTAACCATTTAACAAATAGGAACAAGCGAGGCTCAACCGAGTTTCCCGATTGGAAGAAACTCGATGAGTGCTCGCTTATCCAAAAAGGTATATAAGACAGGACTCTCGAGGGCCGGAGACAGAAAAACCGCTGATCTTGAATCGCAAACCTCGGAAAAAACCCACTGATCATAAGTTTTGTCGGAAGTCCCGGGAGTGCAGCAGGAAAATCAAAAGTGAGTGCAAGTGCTAGTAGTGCACCGACGCTCCGCCGAACACTGAAGCCGCACCAGGTTTCGAGCGATCCACCAAGCCGTACGGGCCGAAAAAAGAGAGAGAAAATCGCAGCCAGAGATCAAATAAGTAGTAAATCCATCCACAATTTATAATCGGAGGTTCCACCACTCGGGGTGGAATTCAATTTTGAGGTTGTTACTCGGAATCTATTATAGACGCATAATTGCCTAGAAATATCGCGAAAGCATACTATTTTGTTTCCTCGCGACCTCGCCTTTGACCACTCTCGACGGGAAAGCAGTTCGCGACTTCAATCGCGAATAGCATCCGGTAGAAAGAGAGAGAGAGAGAGAGAGAGAGAGAAAGAGAGAGAGAGAGAGTTAGTTAGTTAGTTAGTTAGTTAGTTAGTTCGTCCGTCTCTCTCCTAGATCACTCTTTTTTTGATCGAGTATAATGTCAATAGAATAAGAAATCAGTTCCGACTATTAACCTCACACACACTTTCGCTGTAAAGAATAAATTGCTAAAAGGGCATCCCGTTTAAGTGGGACCCCGCCGTTCGCGTTCCAACCGCCGGCACTGACGGCAGCGACAAAATAAAAAATTACGACGAGCAGCCGCCCTCACCCTGAGCGAATCTGAGCCGGAGAGGCTCACTACGACCGTACTCCCTTCACCGCACAGTCACCCTAGCGACAACGACAATAGTAATTACAGCGAGATTAACGATGCAAAAATCCCATAGACTCGCATTCGCAACACACACAATAACATACATTACTCCAATGACACACGCAGAAGTACGCACAGACATACATACACACGACGATTCGTAGTATGAAGCTCTCTCTTACTCACCTGTAAGCCCTGATCCTCCCGCAGACGCTCAATCCTCTCCTACTCCTCCCGCAAGAACTCCACCACCTTCACCTCCTTCAGCTCCGCCTCTCTAGCGCACCCTGAACCTCCTTGTTCCGAGAAAAATCCTGCGGATGCTCAATCCGCCCCAACTCCTCCACCTCCTCTTGCTCCCCCTCGCCTTTACCTTTCGCATCCGCGCAAGAACCCACAGATGACGAACCTTCCGATTCTCTTCGCGTACCGACCCCTCCACCGGACGACTCCTGGTTACAATATTTCCTAAAACTCCACCTACCGGATTGCAGATCCGAAGAAACTACCCTATATTATCAACCCCTTTAAAATAAATCCTTCCGACCTCTTCCGGATAATCTCCACAACACTCCCCAGAAAACTGCTTCCGATCAAATTCTCGTACTTTGATGACATCCGCCTAGTTCCTGTGCATCATTACTACACTCTTTTCCCTCCTAGTTCTGCCAAAATCCGAGAAATCATCGCAATTTATCTAGAGTAATTTAATAACTTATTATTACTCATCGAAAATTAATAGTCAAGACAAAAGGCAGTACGAGTGTTATACTAGATGACCGTGTATTGATTTTTTTGTTGCAAGATTTTTATTCAGACGTTTTGATCTATTTCAGGTCTTCATCAGTGAATGTCTGTTAAAACAATATTATACATAACAAGAAATATATAAGGCCTTACAAGCCATTCCCAGGATGTTGAGCGGAAACTGTACGTGTATATACAATATATATATATACATGTAACAAATTCAACTTGCAAATTTTTACAAGTGAGTGTTTTTTGAATTGAAAACTCAATTCTTAAATTCATACGGGATGCTGGATTTGCATCTCACATATGAGAGACCCCGGATACCCTCCTAAATAATTTTTAAAATATTGCGAAAAAAACTCCTCGGCCAGGAGTCGAACCTGGAATCTCCGGCTTTCCGTGTCATCACCTTTCTTGTTAGGCCACCGAGGCACTTGAAGTTAGTCTCGCAATATTCATACATATATCGAAGATGGTCTGATAATGTTGTTAACGCTAATATTTCAGCCAGCGTAATTTTAAACAATTATGACTTAAGGCTCGTTGAAATTATAAACAAGAAATATATAAGGCTTTACGAGCCATTCCCAGGATGTTGAGCGGAAACTGTACGTGTATATATATATATATATACACATGTAACGAATTCAACTTGGAAATTTTAACAAGTGAGTGTTTTTTGAATTGAAAACTCAATTCTTAAATTCATACGGGATGCTGGATTTGCATCTCACATATGAGAGACCCCGGATATTCCCCTAACTAATTTTTAAAAAACTTAATAAATGAATAAATAAGTCTTAAAGAGCCGTTCGCAGGATGTTGTGCGGAAAATATTTTTTATATGTGTGTACAAAATATAAGCAAATTCACGTTATTCACGTGTGTTTTTCAAATTGAAATTTAAATTCTTAAATTCATATAGGATGCTAGTTTTGCATCTCACATATGATAGACCCCGAATACCTCCCCTAATTGATTTAAAATATTGCGAAAAAAACTCCTCAGCCAGGAGTCGAACTTGGAATCTCCGGCTTTCCGGGTCGTCGCCTACCCTGTTAGGTCACCGAGGCACTTGGAGTTTGTCTCGCAATACTTCGTACATCTATTAAGATGTTTCTGATACTGTATTAACCGCTTATTACGACAAAGGCCTATCTACCTTTAGCCTTAAGGTCTATCTACATAAGACGCAGACGCAGGTCGCAAGCCGCTGATCTCGCGGAATTGACCATTCACGTTTGTCAAATCAGCCAATCGACTTACGTGATTGGTCAATTCCTCAAGATCTGCGACCTGCGACCTGCGTCTGCGTCTTATGTAGAATGGCCTTTATGTAGAATGGCCTTAAGGAACATCACACGGACAGTCACGCTCGACTCAACGGCGGACGGCGAGACGGCAGAGCGGAACGAGAGGAACGGCGAAACGGACCGTCAGCAAGTCGCTCTCCGCCGAAATACTCAACGCTATTACGATGGCTGCTGCATTACTTTGCATGTTTAGTTGCTTGCTTCGCTGCTGCTTGTTACGAGCTGCTGTTTTTATACGCTGCATTTGCGCTTACATCGCTGCATTCTGCCGAACACGATCCTGCGAGTTTTCATGTTTCTCGGCCTGCCGATCCTGCCGCCTAGCGCGAGCTTGCAAACCGCGCTGCGTAACCCCTATAGACTTATATAACAGACAGAGAGCATTCGTATAAGAGGAGCTGAAGACTTCATTAAAAGAGATAGAAATAGTCGTGGAGCAGTTCTCTTCTTTTCTAGCAGTGAGTTGATTGGTGGCTGCAGCAGGCAGAGGAAGTGGCCGAGAGCAATGAAGATAGAGTCCAAGAGTCAGTTGAGAGAGAGTGATAGTGAAAGGTGATAGCATAGACTTGTGAGATGATTGGTCCCCCACCGCTCTTATTGTAAGAGAGAGAGACAACCACTCCAGCACTATTTTTTAATGTTGTCTTCAACTTTCTCTTATAAATGCTCTGTCTATTATATAAGTCTATGGTAACCCCGCGACCTGATTGACCTCGTATCGAGCGAAATCCTTGTGCTCTTGGTCGCTGATAACCGTGTCGTACGGACGCTTTCCTTTGGGCTCCCGTATCAAAGAGTCTGTCGTGCCGCGATAGAATTGCTCGTGCCGCTATCTTTGTGGAATGCGTTATCTTTGAGTTGGTGTGCTGCTCTCTCGCTGCTTTTGGATTAAGGTTTGAGCTGTAGAGCACCCGAGTTCACTGTAGGGGACAATCAAGGTATCCAATGGCCGAGGACGAAGACGTACGGTGAGGTGCCCGTTTTCTAAGTTGTAAGCTACGAATCCGCGTTGCCTAAGCTTCGTGTCGAGGCTAGTCGCTGATTCTCGCGTTTTGTTTACGTTAGCAAGGACGTGTCCTTCGCCTTCTTTTGTAATTTCGGCAGCGGCTAGAATCGAGCCTCGCGGAGCTTTGTGGCGACCTTTTGTAGGTAGGTTAAGTGCATGCTGATCGAGTGTTTTATAAGATACCGTCAAGCCCTAGAGATACGGTAAAGCGCCAAGCAACCTTTTGTGTAAAATTTACATGTTGAATTGTAATTCTTTGTGCATGTCGCATTTTGTTATTGCTGTTGCATTGCGCCGCTCTCGCGTTGCGCAGCGTTTGTCTCGTACCGACGGACCGTTGACGTCCGGTAACGCATCGCGACGAATTGTGTTATTATTATTTTGTTAATTCGCGAATTTTGTATGTCATGACCGCATAATCGTTTCTATTGTATCGCGATAACAAGTTTCGAGTCACTATATAATCTGTGACTTTACCGAGGAATATTTTCTTGTATTATATCACGCAAATTGAGTTTCGTACCGACCTTCCATCCAGTATCCCAAGATATTGCTGTACGCCGTGAACTACGTCTTGGCTAAAAAATTTACCGAATCACGCAAGCTAGGTATTTGTGCCTGCGTTAAGCAGTAATTTGGCTTACCTGTATATTGCTATTGCCTGTGTTCTGCTTGCGTGACCGAGAAAGACGTGAATCTTTTCGCGCGATCGGTCTAGATGAAGTGCGTGTGAGTCGGAAGTATCGAATTGCGTTACTCGAATCTCAGTTGGTGTCTGCGTGAGAGTTGTGATTAAAGTGAATTTAAAAACGAGCATTTCTAAAGATTTTGCGAGTGTACGGTGAATACAGGTCATTTAGTGAATGCTTCGTGAATATTATTCTTGAGTATCGTACGATTTTAGCCCTCGCGGGGCACTATTGAGAAGGCTATCGCCTCGTTCTTTTGCGAGTTCTGTGACGAGCAAATCGTGGAGTTGATTCGCAAATAGTTCCGACGTATCGTGACGCTTCAAGAATTAGCCTGACTCTTCCGACGGCGCACCCGTTTCGTTCTACCTGGCGTATCTTTAACCTGCACTTTCAGCTTGATTTTCGGCGGTGTCGAACCGTGGACTTGAGTTTGGCGAAAGCTTTGCGGCGGACAAGCAAGCCCGACGACTTAGATTATCCGCTTGCTTAATTTGGCGCATCCTGCACGTCTCTCGACCGCTTGCTTTATCTTGCCTGTTTAGTCTGCATCTTACAGCAGGTTTTAATTGCTCGCAGTGGTGCATTAGTAATCTTATACGCGATATAGTCAGCTCAGGCGGATTCGTGCTAGTAGCAACTAGTTGGCTTGACTAACTTCGACCGGCCATCCCTCGCTTCAAGTATCGTATCAATATTCTAGTTCTTTTGTTGTTATTTCTCTCATCTCCGTCGTTTATTAATCGGTAATTTTATGTGATCTTATTAAAATCCTGTGATCTTATTAAAATCCTGTAATCGTATTAAAATCCTTTCTTTTCTCATTATTGTCACACATTATCGGTCTTATTTTTATTATTTTGCCACATGCTAAATTGTTATAATAAATTGTTATTTATTTTAAATTCGATCTCTAGCTTCATTTATTGCGCGAGGCAATTTGCTGTTGGCTGAAGGGACAGCCTTATTAAAACAATTAATAAACCCAGCCTCTCTCCGTTCTAAAAACGGAGCTAATCGGCCCGTTGTGTCGAATTCGACGCAACAACGCGTCTGGCGCCCAAGTCTCCGTCTAAGGATTTGTCGGCTTGGTGCGACGGTTTGCTCAATTGTCGATCTTTTTCTATCCTGCTATTCAGTGGACGTTTTATTCCCATGGACCTCTTTCCGTGTCCCATGTTCGAGTCTCCGTTTCCGGCAGAGCGACGCGAGAATTCAGTAACAGCTTAGAAAAGCGTCACAACATATATGACGACTGTTTTCAATACACAGTCTATTAGTAAATATAGTATTCATTACTTTATATAGCTGTCCACCTACTGACATTTTAGTTGTTGGTACAGCATTTAAATTAAATTTGTTTCGGTTTACTACTTTATTTTTTTCTGGTAATAAAAATATAAAACCTGTTTTACAAAAGAAGTGATATCAAAACATAGCACCAAACTTAACTAATAGTAAACTTTTGTTTGTTTTATAACTATCGCCACTTCGTTGCGCGTGAACTTGGCGCGATGCACTACCATGCCTCTTATGTACGCGAAATTCAGTAAATGAGAGAATGGAAAGTTTTTTACAAGACTATTTTTCAAGAACGACTGAACCGATTACTTTCGTTTTAGTCTCATTTGCTTCAGAATAAAACATTACAAAAAAAAGTATTCTTGCG